CTGCCAACATGCACATAGAAATCCTTCCCTAGTGAACAGTCAACCCCCCCCCCCCCATTTGGAAAAAGCAAGTCTTCGGCTTCGTGCACTCCCCTCATCTCTGAAGAGAAAATTTTCCAGGGACTGCTATGCACTGAACCAGAAGGAAGTTTATTTAGAAAGGCACCAGGACATTACTGCACAGAACCAAGAAGCTAGGGGGAATGCCAGCGCATGTTAATTTTTCCAAACCTATGGCTGGGAAGAGTCCTGTGGCATTCCCAAAGTATATGCTAATCTAGAACCCACCACTGTAAACAGGACCCTTTACACTAACTTCACGGGGACTGGAATCAAACTGTAGCAGAGGAACAAGGACAACTGCATAGACTATGCTATGCTGAAGGAAGGTCAGGATCCTGTATAACATCTACAGCACAACCAGGGCTGTAAAGACTGGTTTCACAGAAGGGGACACTGCAGGGAGCAGGCAGAATACCAAACCTAGAGTCACTCATGTAAGAGCAAACATTTAACAAAATGGTTTGTGGGGGGAGAGGGGAAGACAGAAGGAAAAAAAAAAAAAAAAAAAAAAAAAAAAAAAAAAAAAAAAAAAAAATTAAAATGAGCTTTTTTCTCTGGCACCTCCTGAATATTTAGAAGGAGCAATGCTTTAGGGTAGAAGCAGACAGCTGTGACTGGAGTGGTGTTATCTGGTTCAAGAGTTTGAACCATCCTTTAAGCAGCTAGATAAGCATTAAAAGACTGGGGGGGGGGGTTGGGAGAAAAAAAAAAAAAAGACGACCTCAGAAGAACTCCTTGACATGTTACTCATATGACAGACCTGGCTATACAGCATTAGGTGTGTGCTTGCCTCCACAGCCCAAGCTCAGACTGCAACATTTGGATAAAGAGACCACAGATGGGAAAATACTCCTTAACTGTGTTTCACTGAAATGGTTGGCCAAAGGCTGGCTACAGCCACATGTAAAATGCACTTTTTTTATTTTTGGAGAGCTGCCTGATCTTGGAGGATCAGACATTAAAATTGTTACAGGCCAGATCTGAGCAGACAAGTCACCATCTTTCTGGTGCCCAGTAAACTGCTTTGACTTAAGTAGTGCATTGGGTGGCTTAGCAGGCTAATGAGCAAACAGATGAGCTGGTGACTGATGGAAGAACACAACCAACCCCTGCCCCTTTCTTTCTCATTCCATTCCCTGCTAGTTGAGATCATGAGGGTGCTTGTCAAGAGTCAGATTTATACACAGAACCAACAAGGAAGAAGGGGCCAGAATGGACAGGTAGAAAGAAGCATTTTGCACAAACCACTCCATCTCTTTTGGAATAATTTATTAAATACAGCATTAAAATTTGGTATTAATCCAGTCATTAAAAACAGGTCCTCTTATACGCACATATACAAGGATACTTGTTCTATATACAATCAGCGCAGGTAACGTCTGTTCGCCAGCCCTGCTGGGAAAAAGGTTCCCTCAACCCCTACCCCTATTAAAAAGATCGTGCAGAAAAGTGCGACCTGTCCCAGAGCAGCCAGTCCCGGGGGCTGCAGAGGCAGTCTGAAGTGCAGGGTGGGAGAGCAGGAGGAAGAGGAGCGTGATGCAGGCTTCAGATCCCAGAAGGGGTTCTTGTTCTTGGGTCACGAGTAGCTGTCTTGGTGCCTCAGATCTGGAGCTTAATGCTGTGTGCTCCCAGTCTGAAGCTGCCACTGAGAAATGTAGGCCTTGCATGCTCCTCACCAGCTGGCCTGTTGGTTTCAGTGACAGCAAGCAAGAAATGCAGCAGTAGGCGAAATGTCCACGCAACAGTTTGTGCCTGCCTGGTCTGGGATCCCACAGCAGCTTACAGAGCTAGTTTTACCCAAACAATGGAGTAGGCCTTGCCTGAGCAGCCAGTCCTGTAGAACTAGACAGCCTCGCTGCAGTGGGTAGGGAAGCCCAGAGTCCTGGAGTCTCCAGTGCTCATGCAGCACAGCTGCCCCTTTTCTTGGGAGAGAAACTCTTTGGGAAGTGAGCATTTTGTAGTAGAGGGTCCCTGCAAAGAAGGGGTTTCCCCATTACAGGTGTCTTGGGTGAGTTCAGAGGTAGCATTAGAAAACCTAGAAGCTTGATTGTCAGTTTCCAGCCTGCCTACAGCAACGGGAATGGAGAGGGCACGCTGCCGAGGGCAAGCTCAGGGAACATGTGGAGACCAAACAGGGTAGTTATAAAAATCAAACCCTGCTAAAATTTGGCTGGCATTGCCAAGCTTGCACTAAAGGGGTACAACCAAAAGGGTTCTGTAGGAATTGCTCCAAGAACCCCACAGGCTTTTTTATTTTGTTTTTTCTTCTGGAGAACCCCATCAGCTGGATTTTAAAAAAATGCCAAGAAAAAGGTGGTAATGTATAGAACTTTCCCTATTCCCACTATGGGCCCTGCTAGGGTTCCTACAAATGCATAGATCAAGTTAATGGCTACCATGCCTCCATTACCATCACATGTTGGCAAAGGTTTAACTTACAGCTGGAGGAAGGATGCTGGCCAGTTATTCTGCAACCTTGCAGTTTCTAGGGTCTGTACTCTAAGCTCTCTGTACCCTCCACCTTCTGGGTCTATTCCCTCCAGAGATCTCTTGCTATAGGCTGCCCCACTTGCCCCACTGTTGTTGGGAGTGTTTGAGGATCAACTACAGGGTCGGTGGGGATGATAGAGAGGCTGCTGAGCCTGTGCCAGGATTGGAAATGGCACTCTAACCACAAAAAGGAAGAGGAGAATCCACACATGCCATCCATTGCCTACAGTAGACACACACCAGTTCAGTAGCATTTCAAATAAGGCATCACAGGTGCTTTGATAGTAAAGCAGTAAGTGTTGGACTACAGTACAGGAACATATTATTGTGCAAGGCATCCCAGGGGCAGGCAGCTCCTCTGCTATAGGGTACAATGGAGTTGTGAGGGGGCAAGACGTACCATTCCCCCATCCCTATGCATAGACCCCACACCCCATGCCATTTCCAATGAGCCCCCTCTGGTTTTTTAAAAAACACACAAAAAAAAGGAGACCGCATAAAAGTGACTTAAAAATCCCAGACTGGGACGAGCCTTTCACCCTGCCCATCAGCCACAGGAATAGAAGATGCTTTGTGCTGTACCAGACTTCAGAGACAGTGCTGTGGAGGAGCAGCACCTGCAGGCTTCTGGTACAGGGCTAGTTGCCATTGCTGAGGCTGGAGTTGGCACTGCTGCAGCTCTGTTCATAGGAGGGAGGCGCTTCTGCAGGGGCAGAAAGGAAGTTGTTTAAGAGTCAGGTAATGTTATTTGCTACCCACCATCCTGCCCTGCCAAGTGAGGGCCTGATGCAAAGCCCACTGAAGCCAAACACTTGCACACTTCAAAAGACAGGATCAAGCTCTTCATGGACAGCCTGCCACGTTCCTACCAACATGACCCAAAAGGGACCAGTGGTGAGGAGGGAGGAAGTACTTTACACAGACTACAGAAAACTAGAAGATCCTACCCAGGGGTCCAGTACCTCTTAACAGGGGTCACTGGACAGTTTGCAAACAATGGTTCACAGATCCAGAGAGACACTGAGGATGGCACAGCTGAGGTGTAGAGAAGTGAGGTGGCTTCATAAGAATCACTCAGACTACTGGTCAGAGAAACTCAATACTGTCCAGCTATCCAACCGATTAAGAAAAAGAAAAAAAAAGCCAGCCTGTTGGTTTTTTCCATGCCCTGGCTCGAGCTCCACTGCCACAGGGGAGGTCTGCTACCACACTGTAGAACAGTGTGACAACTCTACACTTCAACAACAGGTTACTCTGACAAGCCAGGCCAAGAAGCAGGACACTCACCATATGGGTAACCCCATGTGCTGTACTCCGGAGGCAGGATGAGAGAGCTGGCAGTGGGAACTGGAACCACCGTCCCTTCGGCATAGTATGGAACGGTTGCTCCCGTTGACAAGCAGAGCGTGGGGTGGTTTGGGGAGCCAGTCTGGTCCGAATCCAGCCTTACTTCCTGGAAGCTCAGTCCTGGGGCGTAGCTGAATGGCTGCTGCTGGGAATGACTTTTGGTGGGGATCGAAACATTGTCCATGGGGTGGTAGCCACTGGCAGCTTCCTCCTCTTCTGGGGGTGCGCTCGGTACCACTGCAGACGGGATGTGTGGGACTGACCTGGCTGGGCTCAGAGGGATTCTGTTCACAGCAATGTTGCCAATGTAAATAGGTAGGGTGACTGAGACTTCTGGTGACTTCAGAGAAACCTTGGGGAAAAAAGGGGCCGGGGATGAGAAGAGAGGCATCTAGTTCACATGCCAGTTTTGTACAAAAGTTACACGAGCAAGGCACAGTGCAGTTCACCAGTATAGTCCCAGCTATGGAGCCAAGACAGGTCATACAGCTGCTTTAGACCCATTGTGGCAAAGATGGGTTAAGCATCTGGTTAAGGCAGTGAACTATGGCATTAACACCCATTTTTGCCAAGTTCCTTGCACAACCTGGAAATACTGCCGAGAGCTCTCAGCATCCAAAGGGCAAAGTCCGGGGGGGTGTTGGTTGTATTTTTATTTCAGGGATGGGCAATTAAGCCTATCTGGGCCTGGGATATATAAAAAGTAGTGGATCATGGCTCTGTCCTAGGGTCCTGGCCCCAGCCCCTCAGGTGTCACCACACTGTGATCCTGGCCCCACCTGCCCTGCTCCCAGACACTGCTCCTTGCCTGCCTGTGGCCCCATCCCATCTACCCACGCTGAACACACCCAGATGGAAGGGGTCCCAGGCCAGTCTTCATGGAGATCCTACCCACTCCATCCAGTGGGAGGCAGACAGCCAGGGTGCCTGGACAGTAGGGCCAGGTCTGGTGGTGGTGACAGCTGGGCAGAGTGAGCTGCTGCCACCACCACAGGGGCTGTGGGAAGTGAAGTCTAGCTGTTGCACCACCCCTTCCATCCTGCATACCTGGGGGCGGTGGGACTGGCCACATATGCCACAGCCTGGGCTGCCTCCCATGCCTGGGCCAGGTGGCACCATGGGCTGGATGGAATCCCTTGGTGTGCAGAATCCAGCCTGTGACCCATATTTTGCCCACCCTTTTTATTTCTACTTCTATCCCAGACCTGCAGCAGCCAGAACCAGTCTGCCCTTGTTTTGGGGGAGGAGGGACGGAAGAAAGCTGCAACCATTTTTTGTTGCTCAAAAATTGCTAGAGGTAGAAGCCAAGGAGCACCACCCAAGCAACACCCACTGGGAACACTTCCAGGAAGAGACTGGCAATACTTACTTGGATATAGTAGTCAATGTGTATGAGGGTGCAGCCTTGCAGAATAGACTGGGGCAGCGCTGGGACAAGGATTTGCTCCTTCCACTCTGCATGCTTCCATGCCTTCACCCCTGCGCCCTCCACTTCTGCAATGGTCCTCAAGTCATAAATCCAGCGTTTGGATTTATAAGCGACTTTCTGCACATGGGTGAGAAAGGAAAATGGAACCTGTTGAAGTTCTTAAATTTAATTCTGGGATCCATCAATGCCCTACCATGCCTCTGGGGCAGACTGTGAACAAAAGTCACACATGCTCTTGGCCAAATGGAGCAGAAGTACATCAAAATTTGGTGCAGGAATGAAGAGTCTGAACCAGTCTGTCTGGTTTGGATAAGCAAGGGCTTCTGTAACTGCTCACAGGATGGCTGCAATTCAGCCCAACAAGCCAAGTATTGAATCCAAAGCCTTCAGAGCTAGAACAGACTGCAGCAGCTTAAGCAAAAAAGCTGAGACCATTTAAGTGGGGCTTGTTACAGACTCCTGGCCTCCAGTGGAGCAGCCAGAGGTATTTAGTACATGGAGTACAGAGCAGCTTTGTCAGCAGAGCTAACCAAAGGTTTAGTTCCCTTGTCGCCCCCCCTTGCATAGATTTGGAAAAGGAGAGGAGAGAGGCACCAAGTTTCAGCCAGGGGAGAACATCCCGAGACACTGCTCTCTGTATTTGTCTTTGTGTGGTGTGGCCTGGCACCAGTCCTAGCAACTCTTACCTGAAGCAGACTGGCTACAACAGAACCAGTATCCCGGCCAGACTTGTTCTCTATGTCTGTGCGCAGCTGGATCACCTGCCCCACAATATATCCTTTGAGGTCTGAGGTGGCAGTTAAAATGATGCTCCCACTTTTCACAAGTTTGTAGTTGAACTTCTTGGTGATGGACATAGTGTTGGGTTGCTGTGGGCCAACAATGGATGAAGACAGACATTACAAGAAGTTCTAGGGAACAGGGGCAATGTGTAGAGGGTGCACGGGTACACCCCCCCGAGCATGGCAGTGCACCCCCTACAGAAAGGAACCGCCGATACCACCAGTGGCGCAGGCAGTCTGCAAAAATCACCACTGGCCACTGCCATCTGTGGGTGGTCACCGACCCCTGGTCATCACTCACCACCCCCCCCCCCCCCCCCCCCCCAACCTTTGCTCTGTACCACTGCTATGGGTCTGGGCTGGAACCATACTCCATGCACCAGGCAGTGGCGCCAGCGGTGTCTGCAGAAGCTCTGCACTAATAGCCTCCCGCTCCCACCGCTGCAGCGCAACTGTGCCCCCCCCAGCCAACAGAGACACGTGTCATTCATGTTAGGAAAGACACAGGTATGGGTATAGCGATCACTCTGGTTTCTTTAAACCCATACCTGGTCTTCCAGTGGCATGTTTTGGGAAACATCAGTAACATGTCCATCACCTTGGCTTCTGGCACTCCCTTGCTGCTTGCCTCCTCCCAGGTCATGTGCAACTGCTCAGTCTTGAAAGTTTGATGCCCTGTTCTCTGCTTGCATCTTCCTCCCCATCCCATGCCTAAAGTCTCCCACTTTTTCTGCCAAGCTCTCACCCTCTGAAGTCCCACTTCTCTTTGAGATCTGCCAATGGTCATCTCTCTCCTGTTGTACATACAGCTTCCACCCCAACAAGCCCATGGGCCAGTGCTTCTCAAGCTTTTCTTCAGCATGACCTCATTTCTTCAGCATAGCCCCTCATTCCCAACCCACAGCCCTTCACCCCACCTGCTTATGTTATGACCCCATTTGGAGTTGCAACCCCCAGTTTGGGAACTGCTGCCATAGGCTATCTTCTGTTTGTACAAATGCTACTCCAGTCCATGGATCACTGTTCAGAACAGGGAAGACATCAATTCCCCCCTACCCATCCCCTTGGAGGACTAGAGAAGACAAGCACACAATGGCTGTGCCATTTACAACCATACTGTCAAGTGATCATTTAGGGTGCAGATAGAAGTGACCATTTTTTTGCCCCATCTGGCCACTAAAAGCAGTCTGTAACCATGACCAAACAAGTGCACACTGCAGACCACTAAAACAAAACAAGAGACCAAAATCAGGTGAAAATCTGAACCCTCACCTGCACAAGGGGTAAAATGAAGACGTTTCAAAACAGAGCATCTTCTGTAACATGTCTGAGCTGCCTCCGAGCCTCAAGCTGTTTTCAGAATGGGAAGGGAGCAGAGGGACTTCAGTCTGGGTTTTTTTCAGCCCCCCACTGGAGGGTGGGGAGGATGCATTACAGCCCCTCCAGGTGGGTGGGGCTCCAATACACACATCTCACCCTCCAGCCTGGCTGGGGAACCTCTAGAACCAGCTCCCTCTGCTCCCCTTTCCCCACTCCCATTCTGAAAAATCTGCAGCCTTGCAGGGAAGAGGGGACATTGCTAGGTGAGCCTGGCTGTATGCTCCTAGTCAGCAGCTAGGATTTCCCTCCTCCCTGGAACAGCGAGCTTCTAAACAGGGAATTTGTTTGGTCCAGGGGATCATTTCAACTCCAAACACTTCCTGCAAAGCATCCTCAATTACAGCAGGGAGCTGCACTTCTGTCTATGCCCTTAGAATCAGTGAGTAAAGAGACCTCATCTGTGCACTGCTGGCATGGCCTTCCAACATCAGCAATGGGCACATGCATGACCCAGGGAGCATCCCAGGCTGGCAAAAAGCCAGGCTGTAGTTTCATATGCACTGATCATTAAGAAAGCAGCACCTAAGACAGGACCCACTTACACTGACTGCAGGGTGTCTACTCTGTGGAGCCACCTGCAATTAAGATTACTCCTGGCCTATACAGAAAATGAGGGGAAAGTGGCTCATATCCAAGGGAGCTGAAGACTGGCATATGGAGATGACCGAAAAAAAAAAAAAAAAAAAAAAAAAAAAAAAAAAAAAAAAAAAAAAAAAAAAAAAAAAAAAAAAAAAAAAAAAAAAAAAAAAAAAAAAAAAAAAAAAAAAAAAAAAAAAAAAAAAAAAAAAAAAAAAAAAAAAAAAAAAAAAAAAAAAAAAAAAAAAAAAAAAAAAAAAAAAAAAAAAAAAAAAAAAAAAAAAAAAAAAAAAAAAAAAAAAAAAAAAAAAAAAAAAAAAAAAAAAAAAAAAAAAAAAAAAAAAAAAAAAAAAAAAAAAAAAAAAAAAAAAAAAAAAAAAAAAAAAAAAAAAAAAAAAAAAAAAAAAAAAAAAAAAAAAAAAAAAAAAAAAAAAAAAAAAAAAAAAAAAAAAAAAAAAAAAAAAAAAAAAAAAAAAAAAAAAAAAAAAAAAAAAAAAAAAAAAAAAAAAAAAAAAAAAAAAAAAAAAAAAAAAAAAAAAAAAAAAAAAAAAAAAAAAAAAAAAAAAAAAAAAAAAAAAAAAAAAAAAAAAAAAGAGGAAAAAAAAAGAGGGCAGAGTTTTGAATTTCTGGTACACACCAGAATTTCAGCAATGTATTCTCAGCAGTGTACAGAGGCAGATGGCACTAGAACAGTAACTGCCTCCCTCTAGCAAGAGCTACCTCTCTAGCCTTGCAGAGTCCCAACAGAATGGGCGCAAGGGATGCCTGCCCCTCATACAGACATGACACATCCCTCACACTTTTGAATGAGTCTTCCAGAACCTGTTGCTGGTCTCAAATCCCAGCATTTCCCTGCCCTCTTCCTCGCCTCAAAAATTACAGCTCTTACCTCAATCTCAGGGATGGCATTCAGGTTGAGTGGACAGAGGACATAGAAGACTTTGTTGCACTTGTAGTCCTTGGAGAATCGGGGTGTATCTATCACAGCTTTGATCTGATGGACAACCTTCCCAAAAGGGCCTTCAAACGATGTGGGAGCTGAAGCTGGATTCAAAGAGAAGGCAAAAGGATGTGTCAAAAATAAGCAGAAGTAGGCTGGAAATAAACTGCACACTCGCATACTCACTTGGAGACATTTCTTTATTGCTATGAGGAGTAGGACAGCAGGCTAAGTATCTGCAGGACAGGCTTCAGGGGCCTTTTCATGCAACACAGAAGATTTAAAAACGGAAAGAATAAAGCCTACCATACTTACCTGGATACAAGACAACCTTCAATTTAAGATGACCCCCCACTAATTACAGTAAGTTTTCTGCATGTATGGAAGCTAATTATTGGAGGATCATCTTAAACTCCTCCCCCTACTACTGCAGGCAAGGTGGGGCGGGTAAGGAAGCAGGTGGTAGGTTTGGTAAGGGTTAGTGGGACAGACAGACAGCAAGAGGCAGGCAACTTGCCCCCTGCTGCCTGTTTTGTCCCCCCCCAAAACTTACTTCCCATTGTGCCTGCCCCCCTGCAGCCTCAGGCTGCCCCGATCCCCTTATATTCCCCACACCTTTCTCCCTCCCCAATGCTTTTGTCCCCTGCAGGCTCAAGTCCCCACCCCCCTGAAGACAACCCCCCACCTCACCTGCATGCCTCCTCCCCCCTTACCTTTGCTCCGAGCAGGCAGGCTCCATCCTGGCTGCAGCCCAGGGCACAGAGCATATGCTCTAGCCCATAGCAGCAGTGCAGAGCCAGCACATGCTCTGTGCCCCAAGCTGCAGCCTGCCAGCAAGGAGCAAAAAGGTAAGGAGAAGTGTGGTAGAGGGGAAAAGCAGTATGGGAGTGAGATTGGGGGTTGTGGAGGAGTAACTGGGTGTGCAAGGGGCAGGTGGCCGCTGCAGCTCCAGCCCTAACCCATACTCCCCACTGCCTTGTGCTCAATTGCAAGACAGGGGGATTCCCCTCCCCACTTTAAAATGGAGATGGGACCTCATCTTTAAATTAAGTGAATATGGCATTTGCATTGAAGCCTTGCAATTATGGAAGGAGTCACCTTTGCTAAACTCCATGGCTACTTAAAAAGGTGTTATTGCTGTTCCATATATTACGAGTATTCTGGGAGCACCTAGGACCAGTCACAAACCAGGATTTCATCTTGGGAAGTCATCTTGGGGCTTCTCTGCTGCTCCATCCCTTGCCTACCCCCAAGTTTTTCAAGCCAGAGGCCAGACTGCACTGGTGCCACTTCTGATGAGGAGGCAGCAAGATTCTAGCCCAGATCAATTCAGTTCCAGATTATTTTAACCACAACACAATTTAGTTAACGTAGCAGCAGACTTGCCAGAGGTCTCCAGAGCTTGCTCTGTGCAGGGGAAGACAAATTGCTCAGCTATAGGGTTAGCTAGAAAGAGATGTACTTATCCAGACTGCACTTCCACCTTTCTTGTCATAGATGGATATCATGAGCCTTAAGTTGTGTCTCCATGGCGACATTTTTGGCTGCCATCAGCATAGAGCTTTTCTGCTAAAAAAGCTTCAGCATAGGCACACCCTCCCCTACAGTGCCTTAAAGGGCCAGCATTGTTCTTTCGGAAGAACAATTCCAGCTATTCTTTGAGAGCCTGCTCAAAGGACTTGCGTTTAAGAGCAGGTTTCTTGCCTATGAATCTGACTGCAACTTGATCTGGTCTAGACCAGGAAAAGGCATCCAACTCAAAAACATGTTACCTCTGTTTAACGCTATGTCAATTTTACTAGGTGCAAAACCACAATGATGCCCTTGCAGAGAAGATTTGCTAGGTTTGATTAGCACTACACTCTCCCCATTACCTGCAATTGGTAGAAGAATCACATTTGAAGACATCTCAGCCAACCAGCTTTGAAACGAAATAGTTTCAAAAAGAGTTTATTTTCCCCTCGTATGGTAAATCCTATTCTAGCCAAGTTGCGGGGATGGGAAGAGAGTCGCTGTACTAGCCACTAGTCTGAATCCTAGGGGACATTTCTGTGCCATACCTGGTAGCAAGAACTGGAAGGGAAAGGAGTGCTCACCAGCTGTCAGGACCCCTGCAAGAGACAGAGAAAAATGGTAAGTGAGACTGGCTGCAGCACCCTGGAACCAAAGCCTGGGAATTAAGACAGTGCATGAATAGCAGCTCCCCAGACAGCCACATATACAACTCCTCTGTGGTCTTGGCTGATTAATGCCACATTTATTGTTCACAGGTCAGTAAGCCCAATGCTACCCACCGTCAGTTTGCAGCAAGGCCTACTGCATGTCACCCCTCCCTGGGGGTAGAAGGGTTACTGGCTTGTGTCCCACCACTGTTGGGTGCTGCTGTTTGAATAGTGGTGATAGCATTTAGAGGGACAGACAGTCTGCAGCAACAAGTTGGTGACAGGTTATTAGTGAAGGATGCAGACAGAAGCAGGATTCATGGGAGTTAATTTCTGCTTCATCAACAGCAGGCCTTGTGGAGGCCAGGACAGATCCCACCTTATCCATCCAGGATGGCAGACTTGCTCCTAAACCAGATGTTCACCCAAGGGCTATAGATCCCCAGCAGCTGCACTAGCATGTGAGGCTGCTCCAAACTTGCATTCAAACTTTTGGCTCTAGAGCACAGCAATATGCTCAGCCCCATCCTCCCTGGGGCCCACTGCTGAGGTGGCCTAGACAAGACCATATTCCTCTCAACCAGAATGAAGTCTAAAGAGAAGATGAGAGATTCCAAACAAGTCCACCATGCTCTAGTGGCTTTCCCAAGGCTGGGAGTGTGTTTGGAGGCGTCAGCATACTACAAATCTCAAACCTTCCCACTTGCTACTTGCCAAGAGGCAGTTTGCCCAAAGGAGACAAGGCTTATTTGGCTTTTGGTCCTGGACCAAACAGAACTGACTGAAGTTTGGGACTATGGGTCAGGGTCAACAATCCAGGACTTGAAGGCTTTGCGATGGGGTTGGAAGGGAACCATTTTGTTAGTAACATTGAAGAGATCTCAAAAGACATTTTAGTGCAGTTGATGGAATCTTTCAGTTGATGGAACTACTACTTCCTACTTCCATTTTCTATGATGGTCGCAGAACAGCATGAAAGCTCACCACCACGCCAGCACTTCCATCTTAAGATAAAACATCTGGATTCCACCAGGTGCTGGGAGAACAATACAAAAGCTAAACCTGAGGGCTTAACACTGGTTTAGTTCCAGTATGTGCCACCTTTCCCAACCTGATATTACCTTAAAAAGGCACAACAAGGCAACTGGCATATTAGTCTTTTGACCACATTCGCTACAGGACAGCCTTCTGCAAAAGCACCACCTTGCATTAGGAAAAAAAACCCAAAAACAGCAGAACCAAGAACAGCTCATCAGGGCTGAAGCAACAAGCAAAATCTAGTCTCCTTTCCAAAGCCAGCTGCAAGTCCTCCCGCATCCCATTTTTCACTTTCAGCCTGCTACCTAACCACAACTAAGCAGCTGCTTATGTGCTATTAGCAGAAAAGTGACCCCATGGCATCAGAATCTATTTAAAATCTCAATCAAAAAGAAACAGTGGAATTGAAGAGAACATTAGAGTTATTTACATATAAACATGAGGTTCACACCTGACACCACTACAAGACAACACCCGCAGAGTGTTCCCAATGCTTTCCAGGATGCCTCTCTAGTGGAAAGCCAAAACCCAAAGGCTCAGAATTCAACTTGCTATTTAGTTGATACAATTAGAAAAGCTGTTCGCTTCATCTCTGCAAGGATGCAGTGCTGACCATAGTATAACCGCATCAGTAGATTAATCAAATTACTGGTACTTAAGGGGAAGGGCGGGGGGGAAAAAAGATGAACAGTATCCCTTCCTCACTTGCAGCAGAACAATTGAAAATGGACTCCAAGCAGAGATTTCACAGGCCTAGGATGAATCAAGGTCTGGCCTTCATTGCTAACAAAGGCTGCAGTACCACAGTGCTTTACACTCATGTACTACTGCTTTGGGGAATTTCACAAGAAAAACCCAACTCAATACAGCCCAGCACATACTGAAGTTCAGAAGTCCCTGACCTTCAACAAAGAGAGGCACAGAACAAGCAAATGTGAGAAGTGTTTGATCTTATTATTTCCTCCTAAACTACTCAGGACTGTATACGGGATCCGTCTCCTGAGCCACCTTGTCCTTATGAGCAGAGAGCAATGCATCTCTCAGGGGCAGTTGCAATGCTTTTTTGATCCTAAGTGATCCTGAGATCTATGCTAAAAGTGCAATACCCAGTCTAGACACACAGTGGCATTATGCAGCAACTCTTGTAAAACCAGGACTCAAACCTCGACTAAAAGTGGCAGCCTTCAGATTTCCATGAAGGTAGAAGCCCTTGGGCTGCCCTCACATCCCTCAGATACAAGGGCACATTAGCCGTGCCAGGGTCACAGTGGGTCCAGACTGGACACTGAACTAGAAGATAAGAGGATGCAGTCAGGGGTCACTAGGTTACAATATCCAAACCAGTGCAGCTCTGTAAATAGAATAATCCAGTAGATTAAGCAAAGGCTAAAGTGTTAAAAGACCTGGTTTCCAGCCCCAGCTCTATTAGCACACAGGGAGACTCCAGATTCCCTTTTCTGCCTGTAGCCTCTTCCCACTTGAAAGACTGGGTAATGCACTCCCCTCACTTCACTGCAGAGGGGAGTGGCTGCAAAGATTAGCCAAGTATCTGCAAAGCTCTGTGTTAAATGCTACTGCTAGTTAGGCTCCAGGTCGCAGAGTCCGGGAAGAGATGTGCAGATTGTAGCTGTAGCAGCAGTATGCAGCCTCTTAAGACTGTGTCCAAGCAGTAGTCAGAACAAAGGGAATACAGTCCTGCTGGTCTGTGCTCTACCTTTGAAGGGCTGCAGAAAGCCCGAGAAGAATTCAAGTGGAAATAGAGTCTAGCAATCTGTGCCCCCCCAGGATGGCAATCAGCCAACTAGTGCCTGCCTCAGCTGGATGTGCACCCAGTGCCACTGCTGCTGTTCCCAAGGGCTGTATTGGAGGGCAACGCCAGGTCTCATGCCGGTAGCTGCCACTGCCCAATAGAAAGAGTCAGGGCTCGTTTATGGTTTCATCACTGGAATCAAGCACTGCAGAGAAGGAGAGCGCGTGGCTGGGTGTCATGCTGAGGGGATCCCATTCAGGACACGCGTTGGCACATCAGTGCCCCCAAAGCCTTTGCGATGCTAGCCAAGAAACTAGATACATATGCCAAGCACTTGTCTGGCTTTGTACTCTATTCTCCACCTCCCTATTTGGGTGATGTAGAAGAGGCCACATCTACACAGCAGCAGCTGCCAGACTTCTTGATGCTGGCACAGCTCTACCAGCAGGAGCATTTCTGCTCCCAGAGCTACCTTAGCTCCCCGGCAAGACAGAACCTCTGTCGTCTTCTTGCTGGGAGTTTGCCATCAGAGCTACACATTGGGGTGACCTCCTCACAGCCCCAAAGCTCACATAGCACTGCTGACAGGTCAGGGCTTAGTCCCCAGCCCGCAAGGGCCAGCAAAAGGTTCTTGTTTAGTCTGCTCCATGGCATGGGTTTTGCAATACACCCCATCTAGTCAGCAGATGGCATGGTAGGTCGGTAGCATGGTCCTGGCTGTTCTCTCCCAGCAAGTCAAACCATGTTCTTGGTGAGGGACTAGAGGCCATAAAAAACAAAAAACAAAACAGCACTTGGATTTTGCCACTGCCTGAAGAAGCTAGACAGGGAGCCCATGAAATGCACTTCTTTATCCTCCCTGCTCCATCAGCCAGGGAGGAGGCAGGCAATTAGGAGCAGCTCCTTAGTTCAGACTGGCTCCCTCTTTCCCCCCAAACCAAGGGTGGGGCAACTCAGCTGCAGCCAGGAGGGTAGTAAGCCACTGGAACAGGTTACCCAGAGAGCTTGTGGCATCTACATCCTTGGAGGTTTTTATGACGTGGCTAGACAAAGCTTGGGCTGGGATGATCCCGCTTTGAGCAGGGGTTTGGACTACATGACCTACCGAGGTCCCTTTCAACCCAAGTTTTCTATAGTTTTATTCCCTGCATTTGGGAATTCTCCAGTTACTGGAGCAGACTAGGAACTCTGACTTCTGTCTAATGGACCAGCTGCTAAGGGAGGGCATGCACGGCAAGCAGATGAAGAACTTCTACTTACATGTTCAGGCAAGGTGCTACACTGCCCAGCCTTAAAAAGGAGAGGTAACAATACATCTGGCTCATTGTCTAGATGGAGGAGACAGCATTTCTTGCTGCTGTTGCAGGAATTTATCGCCTTGATGCACTCTCAATGGAGTAACAGTTCTTCCTAGTGGTTACAGACCTGTAGCAACAAGTGCCATGCTGGGTGGGTGCTCAAGCAGCATTTCCATCATCCCAAGCTTTGTCCTGGTATCAAGAGCAGGCCGCGCCATAAGCCAGAGCTATGGGTGCATTCACTGGGCTCAGAAGTATTAGTCTCAGCTGCAAGTGGCTCCACTGCAACACTGCTCTCTCAGGGGCAGGCAAGCAGAGCATCTATCTACTGAGCAAGAATGGGGGTCGAGAGCCAAAGCTCCTTCAGAGGCAGGAGGAAGAGGCACAAGCTGGGCAGAAAGCTCTGGTCCACAGGGTGTGAATGCTCCAAAGGACTTGTGCCTGGCAGAGCATCACATAGCCCCCACAAAAGCAAGGACATCCAGGTTACTGGCTGCCACCCTCCTGTGCCAGGGAGACAGAGGAGGGCAGGACTGGCTAGTGTCATCCTGCCCAGCCTCCCTCAGCTCCCACAAAGACTCTCCTTGCAAAAAGTCTCCCTGCTGCCAGGGGGTAGACACTCGGGACTTTGGGCGTGCAGTAGTACAAGGCTGAAGCTGGTGTCCCAGGTGGCTCAAACAGTGGCAAAGACTTCAACGGGGAAGGGGAGGGGAGGGTGCAGGGGGCTGGAGGCTGTTGCAGAGAAGTGTCCAAGGGGAGCCTTCACTGGCATCATATAAAAGCTGGAAGAGGTGAATTCCCATAACTGATGGATCATGTGGTCATCTGCACCTTAGCAGCTACTCTTCTTTTCACTTAAAAAC